TGAATTTGCTTTTTTCTTTACCAGATTCCACTGTAGGGCTGAGAGATGATGATGTTTACAATGTGGTGTCTGGCTGGGACAGAGTGACAGGGGAAATTATAAATGACTCTTTTTTATTTAACAACTGTCAAAAATGTATCTCACTGATTACTTTATGGGCTCACAAAAGGTAGTAAGATAAGCCTCTGTAACTTGACCACCTGAGGGACTGTAACAAACAGGTCAACATACGGAGCTGGTCAACTTCCATTGAGTACATGTGATGCATGCCTAGTCTATTAAAATTAGGTCAACTTAAGGAGGTGATCAGTGTAGGGAGGTGATCAACTATGGAGGTTCCACTATATTCTATTGTAGAGAGAATGAATGGGTCATAGGAAGTACTTATTCAACTGAACTGAATTGTTTTTCTGAATGAATTGGTTTTCTCTGTGTGATTGCATCTACTTAACTTCACAAAGATTTAGGGAGATCGACTAATAAAATGGATGTGAGGCTATTTAGAATTTAAGAGTACTTAATGCATTCAACAATATTTATTAAGTAGCTATTGTAAGGCGCTGTGATGAATTCTATAATGAGACTGAACACAATCTACTCTAGGCCAAATTAAAACTACCACTTCATAAACTATGGGAAATTGTTAGAAATTTCAGTGATTACACACAAATGGAGCATAAGGAAGAGATGCAGATAAATGACAAAAGTAACAGCTTATACCAATGGATATTCTTACTCTCAGAGAGGATCAAATCGTTGACTGACTACAAAGTGAAGGCTAACATACACAGATTTTTGAGCTGATGGGATTTAACTAGACACGATTTTCTAAAACCTTAAATCAGAGGTCTTCAAACTTTTAAACAGGGGACCAGTTCACTGTTTCTCAGACTGTTGGAGGTCCGGACTGCAGGCCCCAGGACAAGTCGGCTGCTAAGCAGGACAGGCAAAAAGCAGGTGGCAAAACCACCTGGCAGGCCAGATAAATGTCCTAGGCGGGCTGCATGTGGCCTGTGGGCTGTAGTTTGAGGATGCCTGCCTTAAATGCAAGAGAAAGGAGTTAAACTTTAAACACTTTTTAAAAAGTGATGGCCAGATTACATGAACGTGAGGTACCAGTGATTACTTGTTTGGAAATAGTAGTACAACATATACAGTATCACTGGAGCTTTTGTATACTGATGGTAACCCAAATTCTGTCAAAGTATGTAATAAATAAGGACTTGCCAAAATTTGGTCCTGACCATATACGACATCATATGAATTAAATAAGCATGTATCTGGAAGAGGTATGCATATGAAAGGCTATTATTGTTATAGCCAAGAAGAGCAATTGCTACTTTAATTACCCTCCCTGCAAAAGAGACAGGCAACTTAGCAAAGCCAAAGGCAGCACACAACAGATACAAACATTGCACTTTCTGGGGTAAGTCATGTCCTAACTTAAAACAAGGCCAGGCATTGGCTGGGAATGGTCTACACCGGGAAGCCAGAGGGCAGTTATATCTTCAGGAAGGATAATGCCAAGAGATCAGTTCTGGTGACCTGTATGTGTTATGCCCCAGATGTCTTCTGGACAGAAATGATCACCATTTCCTTGGACAACATCCCAACTGGGAGAGAAGCAGAAAAGGTTGTAAAATTGTGTCCCCAGCTCCTGGCTTACTAGACAGGATGAAGTGTTCCAGACAGGACAATGAATGCCCCAAATGATGTGATTCCAAGAGACAGAAATGGATCAAAAAGAGTAAAAAGGCAGTAAATGGGAAATGTGACCAAAAAAAGAGTTTGCACCACTGGAGTTTAGTGATGAAGATGATCATAATAAAAGCAACAGCCAATCAAGAAATGGTGCGTGAGACTGGGCACAGTGGCTCACGCCTGTAGTCCTAGCTCTTTGGAAGCCAGGGGATGGGGGAGGATTGCTTGAGCTCAGGAGTTCAAGACCAGCCTAAGCAAGAGTGATATCCTGTCTCTACTAGAAATAGAAAAAATTAACCAGGTGTAGTAGTTGCAGCTTGTAATTGCAGCTACCTGGGAGGCTGAGGCAGAAGGATTGGTTGAACTCAGGAGTTTGAGGTTGCTGTGAGCTAGGCTTACACCATGCCACTCTAGCCCTTTAAAAAAAAAAAAGTTAAGAAATTATGTGGGGCTAACTGAATATCCACACATTGGATCCCTACCTCCTACCATATACACAACAGAACACAGACCTAAATGTAAAACTAGAAAACACATAGGAAAAACCATAGGTAAATCTCCATGACCTTGGATTTGACAATGGTTTCTTATATATGAAACCAAAAACACAACTGATAAAAGGGAAAAAAAATAGATAAATTAGATTTTATCAAAGTTAAAAATGCCATCAAGGTGTAAGGACGCCATCAAGGAAGGACGCCATCAAGGAAGTAAAAAGACACCCTTTAGTAGGGGAGAAAAAATTTGCAAATCATATACCAAATAAAGGATTTATTATCAGATGTATAATTATATACATATATAACACATCCAATAAAAAGACAAATAACCTAATTAAAAATGGGTAAAGGATTTGAAATGCAAACAAAAATCACAAGATACCACTTTATACCCATGAAGTGAATATAATAAAAAAGACAGAAAGTAATAAGCGTTGGCAAGGATGTAGAGAGCGCGGAACCCTCCTAAACTGCCGGTGGGAATGTGGAATGGTGCTGCAACTCTGGAAGAGAGTGTGGTAGTCTTCAAAAGTTAAACACAGAGTTGCTGTGTAATCCTGCCATTCTATTCCCAGGTATACACCCAAGAACTAAAGATATGTACTCACATAAAAACCTGCACACAATGTGAATAGCGGTATCATTCATAAGAGGTAAACAGCAGGAACAACCCAAAGTCTATCACCTGATGAACAGATAAATAAAATGTGGTGTATCTACACAATAGAACAATATTCAGCCATAAGAAGGAATGGAGTACTAACATACGCTACAACATGGATAAACCCTGAAAACATCAGGCTAACTGAAAGAACCCAGTCACAAAGAGTGCATGTTGTATGAAACCATTTATATGAAATATAAATGGAATAGGTCAAATTATTTGGTTAACAAGGATTTTCCTAAGCAGCTAGCACAAGTCATTACCACAGACCAGACCTGTAAGTTACCCCGTTGGCAGCAGGACAAATTTCTATATTTTAAGTTCTATGTTCGAGGTAACTCCCTTCCCTGCTGTTTAAACCCCAAGAGCTTGTACACATTAACCCAGGGAAAAAGTAGAGTAACATCCCAATTTTAATTCTACCCCTAAAGGAAGCAAATCAAAGTATTTAATATTGACAACTAATTTCTTTAAAACTCAGGTTCTTAGAAATCTTAAGCTGAAAAAACTTTAGCCTTTTGAGAAAAAATTGCCCTGGATTTTGTTTGAATTTCTTCTATTTAAATTTGCACTAGTTCTGCTAATAATCTTGAAAGAGCTCCAACTCTGAAAACATTACAGACACGTTATCTTCAAAATTATTTCAGTGTTCCCTACTTACAGCCGTATGCACCACCTACAGCCACATTAGACTATAGTGAGGTTTTATAAATGTCTTGCCAACACACAGTACTACTGCTTGGAAATGATTTTCGTAAGTGCCCGGAAGGGCTGAGTCTCAAGGAGAAGGGGTGTGTGTGTGTGTGTGTGTGTGTGTGTAATTCATTACTGGAATCTCAATGATAAACATTCATTTACAAGCACCAACTTTCTTTTCTTTTTTGTTTTTTAGAGACAGAGTTTTACTTTGTCACCCTCAGTAGAGTGCTGTGGCATCACAGCTCACAGCAACCTACAGCTCTTAGGCTTAGGTGTTTCTCTTGCCTAAGCCTCCTGAGTAGCTGGGACCACAGGCATCCACCACAATGCCCAGCTGTTTTTTGTTGCAGTTTAGCCAGGGCTGGGCTTGAACCTGCCATCCTTGGTATATGGGGCCAGCGCCCTACCCACTGAGCCACAGGTGCCACCCACAAGCGTCAACTTTCTTATTATTGTTTTTTTATTGGATGGAAAGTCAAAGTATTGCACCTCTTTGTTTCTCTACTTTCTCCAATTCCATTACTTTAATTTTCCATTCAAATGATCTTCCAAAATGGGAGGGTGGGGGGCTACCACTGATGCTATGGAAAGTTCTTTTCTTCCCCCCTTACTTCAACTAATGGCTTTCCAGAAAAAGATTAATGACAGTACACCTATTTTCTATAGAAAGGACTGTCAAATTCCACCAAAATCTGTCGTATCTTTTTCT